TACCCTATTTTTGTTGAGAATTTTGTATTATTACAATGTTATTGCAATTACATTATGTCTCTCTCATTTATAGCTGTAAGTTTTCAGCCCTTAACCCCTTCACCCATTTCCCTCAACACCTCAAACCGCTGCCTTCTGGCAACCATCATTTTGTCCTCTGTATCTGTGACTCTCTTTCTCTTTATGTTTTCTTTGCCAGTTCATATTTTACTTTTAGATTCCATATTATCAGTAAAATCACAATACTTGTTTTTCTCTCTCTGACTTATTTCTCTTAGCATAATATCATCTACACCCATCTGTGTTGTCATGAACAGCAAGATGTCTTTCTTTTTGTAGCTAAGTAATATTCATGTGTATGTGTGATAGTCTTTATCCATTAATCTATCAGTGGACATTTAGGTTACTTCCATATCTTAGTCAAGGCTTCTCTGGTGGCTCAGGCAGTAAAGAATCTGCCTGCAATGCAGGAGAGCCGGTTTTAATCCCTGGGTCCGGAAGATCCCCTGGAGAAGGGAATGTCAATCCACTCCAGTATTCTTGCCTGGAGAATTCCATGGACAGAGGAGTCTGGCAGGCTATGGTTCCTGGGGTTGCAAAGAATCGGACACAACTAAGCAACTAACACTTTCACTTTCATATCTTGGCTAATACAAAGTACCACAATGAGCATGTATCTTTCACAATTGGTGTTGTCACTTTCTTTGAATAAAAACCCAGACATGGAATTGTTGAATCATATCTTAGTTCTATTTTTAGTGTTTTGAGGACCCTCTATACCATTCTCCATATTGGCCATACCAATTTACATTCGCTAAAAATTTTCAACTAAAAGTAGCTCAGCTGTGTCTGACTCTTTGTGACTCATGGACTCTACGGTCCATGGAATTCTCCAGGCAAAAAACTGGAGTGGGTAGCCTTTCCCTTCTCCAGGGGATCTTTCCAATGCAGGGATCAAACCCAGGTCTCCCACAGTGTAGGCAGATTCCTTACCAGCTAAGCCACAAGGAAAGCCCAAGAACAGTGGAGTGAGTAGCTTATTCCTTCTCCAGTGGATCTTCCCATGCAGGAGTGGAACCAGGGTCTCCTGCATTGCAGGCAGATTCTTTACCAACTGAGATATCAAGGAAGCCCAGAAAAATGTACAAGGGCTCCCTTTTATTCACATTCTTCACAACACATGTTATTTCCAGTCTCTGATAACAGCCATTTTGACAGGTGTGAGGTGATATCTTGTGGTATTGACTTGCATTTCGTTGATGATAAAAAGCCTCTTGATGAGAGTGAAAGAGGAAAATGAAAAAGTTGGCTTAAAGCTTAACATTCAGAAAACTAAGATCATGGCACTGGTCCCATCACCTCATGGGAAATAGATGGGGAGACAATGGAAACAGTGTCAGACTTTATTTTGGGGGGCTCCAAAATCACTGCAGATGGTGATTGCAGCCACGAAATTAAAAGACGCTTCCTCTTTGGAAGGAAAGTTATGACCAACCTAGATAGCATATTAAAAGGCAGAGACATTACTTTTCCAACAAAGGTCCATCTAGTCAAAGCTATGGTTTTTCCAGTAGTCATATATGGATGTGAGAGTTGGACTGTGAAGAAAGCTGAGCTCCGAAAAATTGATGCTTTTGAACTGTGGAGTTGGAGAAGACTCTTGAGAGTCCCTTGGACTTCAAGGAGATCCAGTCAGTCCATCCTAAAGGAGATCAGTCCTGGGTGTTCATTGGAAGGACTGATGTTGAAGCTGAAACTCCAATACTTTGGCCCCCTTATGTGAAGAGCTGACTCACTGGAAAAGATCCTGATGCTGGGAGGGATTGGGGGCAGGAGGAAAAGGGGACAATAGAGGATGAGATGGCTGGATGGCATCACTGACTCGATGGACATGAGTTTGAGTAAACCCCGGGAGTTGGTGATGGACAGGGAGGCCTGGCATGCTGTGATTCATGGAGTCGCAGTCGGACACGATTTAGCAACTGAACTGAAACTACATGTTTTATTGAAATTAATTAGAGTTCTAGGGTAGGAGGTCAGTGCTGTCTTTGTTTATTCCCTAGAATATAAGCAGCATAAGGGCATTTTTTTTCACCACTGTACCCCAGAACCTAAAACAAGTGCTTGGCTATAGTAAGAGGTGCTTAGTGAACATCTGTTAAATGAATATAGAACAGTTTTTGGTTTAATCTTAGAAATCATCCTATTCCCCCAAGTCAGATAAAATGTCCAGTATTTAACTTCCAGTCGGAACGTGTGGGTATGGGTGGTTTGGATTGTTCATGGTACCTAATCCTCAGCATGGGTGACCTGTTCCTTTTGTTTGAGATGGTGGATGCTATTGATATAGAGAAGAGGTTCCTTCACAAGGGAGGACCCTCCCCCCCTTTCTCTGCTTACTCGGGATTTAGAGCTATATTAGACATTCACTGAATTTTTCTTAGTCATCCTGACCATAATGAATAAGATCAAAGTCTTTTATAACTGCTGTGAGTAGTTCCTTCTTTTCAGAAGTAAAATGACTGTTGGTTTATCACTCCCAGGCATTGAGGACTCACAGCTTCTGGCTTGATTTTTTTTTAAATTGTGAAACTGTTTCATCAATGTGTCATGGCACGCCATTGTACTTGTCTTCAGTGAAGAGACACCACCTCCACATGAGTCACTCCAGTCCAATCACAGGAAGGGTTTGCAGTGGCCGCTGTGCCGGGAACTACCTTCCCTGGTGTTTTCCAGTCAACAGCCTGTTGCCTTGAGCTGATAAGCAGATTAGAGTGAGAGAAATTCACTTGGTTGAAGACCAGTCAGTGCCTCCATGAATCATATGTTCTTCTTCTAGTTGGAACACAGACTGTGGGGTGGAGAGGGCCAGGAGAAAGAAGCCAGCTGTCAGCAACACATGCTCCTGGTGAATTCACTGATGCTGACTACCTGCTCTGTTCCAGGAAATGGACACAGGAAAAAAGATGCAGGTAAAGGAAGAGGACAGATTTGAGTGCTATTTGGAGAACTCAGGAAATCAATTGACAGTGAATTGAAGAGATGCTGAAAGGATGGCACAAGTGTTGGTGATGAGGCATGTGGCTCCCTTTGCCTTTTTAAAGATGGTTTTGTATTTACCCTGCACCGCACAAGGATAACATTTATATATGCAGATTGTAATTTGTGTTGCATCAGGTGTGTGTGTGTGTATATATAAATATATTTTAATCTGGGCTCAAAATATGATGTGTAAATATTTGGTTTTATCCAGGTTATTCTTAATTACAGATAATGAATTGAGGGCCTTGTAAGAGTAACTAATCACTTCATTAGAAACACAGCTTGGTTTTGTTAACTGGAATATTCATCACAGCACAGTTCTTTCAGTTCTTACGTGAAAAGCTGTAAGCTGGCTTTGAGATCTTTCACTCACAGAGACTCAGTCTTACCCCTCAAGATCTCATCCTCCTGAATCCAGATGCATGTTTATACTTGGTCACAGGTGAAGAATGTCCTTTACTTCTGAGATTCCATTCAGCAATCCATATTTCAGGGAGGGTTCTCAAACTCTTTATCTTGCCTTGTTAGGTTTGGCACAGCACTGATTGGGGCCAGTGATAATGAGCAAAGGCCTACTAGGCTTGCAGGCATGCATAGCTCCCAGTCCTGGGCCAGGAGAGCTATCAACCAGGGGTCAGCTGATCCTGTGAAGGAGTCAGTAGTTAATACTTTTAGTGCCCTCTCTAGGGGGCATTTATATTCAGCAAATTCTTCTGAGAAGCAAAGCTGCTGCTTCTGTTTAGTCAGTTGCTAAGTCATGTCCTTCTCTTTGGGACTGCATGGACTATATAGCCTTCCAGGCTCAAGAAGCAAAGAATGAGCCACTGTAGTGAAGTTTGAGGTGGACAGTGAGAGGGAGAACCTAGAAATCTATTCCTAAGACTCATTTTCCTAGGATTTACTTGAGTTGGCACATCTTGTCCAAGATTTGTTGAACTGAAATATATATGTGAGATGTATGTTTTGTTATTGGTGGTTTAATAATTCAAGTTACATTTTAAGAGCAAAGATTTAAACTTACCATAGTCAAAAATACTGCTCCCTAGCTGTGAGACTGGGCTGGGGATTCCTCAGTACCTCAGTTTACTTACCTGAAAATGAGGATACCAATCTGTACGTCACAGGGGAGTGGTGAGGCTTAAATGGGATGCTTAGCACCCGTAGCTCAAGCAGTAAAGAATCCGCCTGCAATGCAGGAGACACAGGAGACACAGGTTTGATTCCTGGGTCAGGAAGATCCGCTGGAGGAGGGCATGGCAACCCACTCCAGTATTCTTGCTGGGAAAATTCCATGGACAGAGGAGCCTGGTGGACCACGATCCATGGGGACACAACTGAATCAACTGAGCACACACGCGTGTGCACACACACACACACACACACACACAGCATAAGTAGTGGTGGTTTGGGGAAAAGCTTCTGCTAAAAACACTGTGATGAACATGTTGGGTGTATCTCTGAAACATTAATAAACTCATCAAATAATACAATTTGGAGGGTGGGCATGTGTTCCATGAAGCCCATGGAGAAATTCTGGTAAAGTAGATCTAAAATTGTGTCTGTTTCTCTGTGTTGTCACAAAGTGAGTTAGCAAGGGTTTGGTAGGTGGGAAAGGTGGTATTTGTAGGGAATTGTACACAAACTTTGATAAAACTGGTCACAGTTTTTCTGTGTCAGGTTTTTTGGCTTGGGGTTTTGTTTGTTGTTTGTTTTTGTTTTAATTTACTAAAGATGTCTTTGACAAAGAAAAATAAGTGTTTTCCCTGAATAAGTATTAAGATTTTTGGTCTTCCTTCAGTTCAAATATTTCCATTTACCACTACTTCAGTAAGAGGAGCCCCCTTTACAAAACTGAATATGAATCAAAAGAGAGAGATTTTGGATATCGACTTCCTTTTTAAAGAACTAAAATAGTGAGCCTCTGAGGAATGTGATTATCTCCTTCACTAGAACGGTATATGGTGGTTTCAATCTACAGTCAGGCATACCGATTCCTTTTAACAGAAGATGATTTTAATCTTCCTGAAAGGTTTGTAGAACCCTGCAGTTGGAATGAAATTCAGTGGTCATTTAATGCAGATGGTACTGGTTGTATCTGACCCACTTAGGGGGACTCCTTCACCATCTTGCCCAGGAGTAGCAGCCTGACCTCTCTTCTCACCAACATCTCATCATCATCTAATTATTGCACTGACTCTTTTCTCCTTCTACCTCTTTAAAGAACAATGAAGAATCCTTGGTGTTTTTCTCAATGAGGAAGTCTAGAATTGTGTTAGCAACCTCTTAAAAAGTCAAGGCCTCTTTGAGAGGTAAATGAATAAGTTACAAACTATTGCTAATCATAGTCCCTGATTTCTTTTCTGTGCTGTTCAAGTAGTGGACTTTCAAGAGGTCCTTTCTCTGAATTCTCATGAAGCATGAGTGTATTTGGGCCACTTGGGGGTTTATGGTTTTGTGGACATAAGTTTATAGACCAAGGGAATTTACTGGTTTGTAACTGCAGTTCTTCTGGCTCAAAACCCTTTGCAGCAGGGCACCACAATAATATCTGACTTAATCCTTTATGATTTGGCCCATAATACTGCTAATATTCACAGGGACTTTACTCTGATCAAATGTTTTTTCTCCATTAAAAAAAAAAAAACAAGACTAAAAGCCCTTTTCACTTTTTAACAGTTTTTATTTTGAAAGTATTTGGTTTTCTAATAACTTATGTTTAAGATTCCATAGAGGCAGATGCAATTATTCGTAATAATTTAGTAGCAAAGTGACTTTAACAGTTTTACTGACTTTTTTTTTTTCTTCATTTTTTATTAGTTGGAGGCTAATTACTTTACAATATTGTAGTGGTTTTTGTCATACTTTACTGACTTTTTAGAAATCCTGCCCTGTACCCTGTGTGTGTGTGTTTGGGGTGGGGGTTACTTTAAAAGACAGCTGAGTGCTGTGTAGGAGATTAGACATGACTATCACTGGTGATTCATTTGCTTCCCTGGTTCATTGCTAGCCTAGGTCCTAGTTCAAGTTAGCACAGGATGTCCCTTGTACAGAATGTCCAGAGGTTTTAAGGGAAACTTTTAGAACTAATGAGGAATGGGAAGGAGATAAAGTGCCTCAAACACTAATGAGGGCAGGGGATGCAGAGGAATCTGACCATAGCACTCGAGAAGGAGGCGTGGCGGAGAGTGCTGGTGGTTTCAGTCTTGGCTCCGCCACTGTCCTTGAAGTCAGTTAGCATACCTGCCTCCAGATAATACACGTTCCATGGTGCTTTGGTTTCCTTCCAAAATGAGGACCATGTGTCATCTGATGGAACTCACAATTGCTTGGAAACAGATGGGACCTCGTTGGGCAGTATCTGTCATTGAACACCCTAAGCACTCTTATAGGATCCTTTTTGCTTCCTCTGTTTCTTCTCTTGCCTACAGTTTTCCCAAGATCTTCTGGTCCTTAGCTCACCTAATTTTCAAATGGAATCTGAGATCCTATAAGCTGAATTTCCACAATATATGTTAACTTTCTTCTCTACTTAGGCCCCTCTGCATGGTTAAGGCATGGGCTAGAGTTCCCAGGGTGGTTGATCAGACTTGTGGTTAATTGACCAAATGCCTAAAAACTATAGCATTATCCACCTTACTTGCAGGCAAGGCATACACACACACATAGGTGTGGGGTGGTTCTTCAAAATCACAGAGATGCCTTGACAATTAAATATGATTTTACTTCCCCAGTTGATTGCCCAGCTCTTATAAGCAATAGATTCTACCATACAAAATAATTCCTGCCCCAGGTCCTTGAAATTTGTAATAATGGACATCTAGTTTTATTTGAAATTCACTCAGAGCTTTCTATTTCCTCTAGGCATCTACAGCACAAAGATAATAACATATTCATAAAAAGTATCCTGCTTCACTTACATGTTGAAGAGCCTTAGAAGAGCTGCAGTTAAGTTTCTTTGTTTAGTTAAGATTTGATTATCTACTTGTGTATACTGTTGTCACCAATCACCTAGAATATAGAATCCATCAAAGTGGACAGTTCCCCAGCCAAATAGGAGAGTTGTAGAGCTATATTATTCTTTTCCTGGATGTTGTAGAGGCTGAGCTTCTTACTTGAGTAGAGAATAAAAAATAGAAGCATGTAACACTTGACTTATTTGAATATAAAAGTGGGAAATTCTGAGTTCCTGAATCCTAAAGCCTTGGGGAAAGAGCCTGTTTGTATTAATGGCTTAACTGCAGGTCTTATTCTGCTTTCAGTTAAAATTTTTAAATATTCAAACTCATGTTCCTTACCGCCTTTGTTTACTCTTGTTTTTAAGGAAGACTGGGCGTGTTGAAGACTCAGACCTGGCACACATATAAACTACAGGTGTGACAAATTATTTTGGGTGGAAGGGTAAGAGTCCAAAGTTAGAGCATTTCCTGGGGCAAGAGAATTTAAAGATAAGAAGATGGAGAACAGGGCAGGAACAGAGTCATGAGTGGGAATTTGGATGTGGTGACAGTCATTCAAAGAAGACAGAAGCAGAAAGTCACTGGTGGCCAAGTGTGGGGTGGATGGGAGAGGAGAGAAATGTGAGATGGCCAGCAGGTCAGCTAGTAGCTGGCTGTAATTGTTCTGGGGGGTGGCAAGGATGAGAAGATATGTCAATTATGTATATGTAGAGAAGCTTGATTTATAATATAAAGGAACTATGATATTATTCCTTTTTTAAAAAAAGGAATTAAAAAACTTTGTTCTTAAAACCCGTCACTTTCCTAAGTTATTGTGTAAATTTGGCTTGTTTGCGAGCAGGGCACATTTTTATGGATTTCAAGGGAGAAAGATCCACATATGTTGTTCAAGGTTGAGCCAAATGCTGGTTTCTTCTGTAAAGGAAAGAGGGGAAAGAAGTCCTCCCTCTCCTCTTTACTCCCTGACAGAGAAGGAAAGGACAGCCTGTGCTCTCCCAGGTGGGGCTAGAAGGCCCACAGCATCATAAGTAGACTACTGCCGGCAACAGCAGTGCTTCTACAGCCCCCAGAGTTCCATGTTCTCCTTCTCTGCTGTGTGCTTGGCCCCATGCTGGACAGGAGACCAGTAAACAAGAAGCCTGTCCTTGAGGAAATTTCCAATCCAGAGAGGGGACGGTGCCAGCAGATAAGTAATTATAGCATAGAGGGAACTGTTATAAAAACTTAAGAGTGCGTAGAAGCCACTCTTTCTGGAGATGCCCTGGAATTGTCTGCAGATGTGAGCTGGGTTTTGAAGGGCACACAGAAATCCCTTCCGAGAGAAAAGGAGTCGGGCATCCTGGGTACCCTGACGAGATGACACAGTGTCTAGATGATGCCATCTGGAGAGTCAGCAGCTCCCAAAGATCCTGGTCACTCCTGTTCCAGAAAGACAGTCTCCCAGGGTGTTTTCCCAGGTGACCTGACTGAGCTCCAGGTGAATAGGTTCTACTGCAGTGAGCTCTGTTTTCTCTCTTCAATTCTCAGTTCTTTTTCTTTCCATCCTGGTCTAAGGTTAGAGGTGAGATACACTAACTTTTTAGAGGTGCTTTCTCCCAGACCCCTGCTCAGTGGACATTCCAGTTCCTCAGCTGATTGCCTGATGTGCAGTCCTGACATGAGATATTATGACATGTCATTGTTTTAGACCCATTCAGTTAGGATTTGGGATCATCTGGACTGGGTGGAATTTGATTATTTATACACTGTGAACAAAGAAGTTTGCCAAATAAATTAATGCTCTGTTAAATAAGATTCCAAGAAGGATACCTAATGCAATTATGTAGAAAGTAAAGTGTTTGAGTTTTCTTTATTTTTTAATCAGGTTCCAGCATACTTTAAAAAAATGAATCTTGTCAATTCATGAAAGCAGCCATAGTAGGAGTTTTAATTGTTAATTTTTTTAAGCAAATAAGACATGAACACATTCTCATTTTTATAAAAAGCAAACAAACCAGAACTAAAACAAAAAGTACGTGTCTCATTTTGCCAACTAAATGTTTGTAGCTACCTTTTCCTTTGCATATACACACATTTAATGACATAGAGTTTTGTTTTGCACTTTTGTAAAATAGGATCAGCCTAATCTGTAACTAGCTCTCATCTTACAATATTCTAAGATGAGTGTCCTATGACCATGAACATATGTCTACTTCATTCTTTTGGACAGCTGTATAATGTTCCATATTATAGCTGTACTACGATTTACTTATTCATCTCCCTGATGGTGGATACTTAGATAATTTGCATTCTTTGTCAGAACAAAGCATTAGTATCTGTCTTTATTCAAATCTTTGTGTCTGTGCACAATTTCTTCCAATAGGATTTCTATTGAATTCTTGGTTAGCAGTTGGAGTCAATGTTTATTTATACTTGGAGATAACAAAAGTATTTTTCTTAGAAATACTCAATTTTTCCTGCAAATTATGCTGCCTTTTCTATAAATAGTTAGGCTTGTGACATCCTTTGTGGAGCATTCCATGGAGCCACTGTATGGGATGGTGTCAGCAATTTTATTATAAACTCTTGCCAAAGGCAGTGTCAGAAATGAGCCTTCATAGCACAGAAGTAGAAATTAGTTCTTGATTCTTTTTTCTCCTTCCTATCCTGACACAAAATTATAGAGATTCTACAGAGTGGCTTATATAGTATAGTCATTTAAGCAGCTCTGGGAAAGCATGAATGCATTCTTATTTTTTAAAAATAAAATGGAATTAGGATATGGGATCTGGAAGCGAGGGATGGCCCTCCCTTAATTTAATAAAAACAATCTGAGAAAACAGGAGCCCCTCAGATCTTTTATTGTTTGTTTCTTGTTTCCTCTGCCTATGTATTTCTCTGTCTCTCTCCTTTCTCTTTCTGTGTGAATTGTAACGTTGCTCTCTGTGGCTGTTGCCCAGATTAAAGCGGTGGAGAAATTTGTGACTGCATATAGCAGCTATTTGGTACCTCTGACACAAAGGAGAGGAAAGTAACGGGGGCACACTTTGGCTGCCACATCTCTACTCTTGCAACCCCCGAAGGGGATTTTTATGGGATCTCAATGCCAAACCCTTCCAGTGAAATGACCTCGCCAATATTGAAATGTGATTTGTGTTTTCCTTCCAAGATCTAACATATAGTTCAAAGATAGATAGAAAAATTCTTATCTTCTTGTTTCTGTTCTTTTTTCTATCTAATTTTAAAGCTTAGGTAAAAACAAGAAATGATCTAAATCAGAGTTATCAGACCAGTAAGATGTCTGGGAAAAAGAGAAAGATCTTCTGAGTAAAAAGGCAGGAGAAGGATTTCCCTGGTGGTCCAGTGCTTCCAATCCTGGGGGTGTGGGTTCAGTCTCTAGTCAGGGAACTAAGATCCCACATTCAACAAGGCCTGAAAAAGACAGCAGGTCCAAATATCCATCAATAGGGTTGGGCTAGGTGTGCTTGTGGTAAAGAACCCACCTGCCAGTACAGGAGACATAAGAGATGAGGGTTTGATCCCTGGGTTGGGAAGATCCCTTGGAGGAGGGCATGACATCCCACTCCACTATTCTTGCCTGGAGAATCCCATGGACAGAGGAGCCTGGCAGGCTACAGTCCATAGGGTCGCAAAGAGTCAGACATGACTAAAGCAACTTATTACCCACACAAGTGCACTTTGGTTCATCCAACTTGTGTAAAATAGAATGAGAATGCTCTCTTTCTGCCAATGTATCCATAGAAAGATCTCCAGGATATTACTGTTAGGTGAAAAAAACAAGATGCAGTGAGTGTGTAGAATATGCAAATATTTTTTTAAGAAAAGGGGAAAACAGGAATGTTTATTTGTATTTACTAGTATTTGCATAAGGAAACTGAAGGTTACACAAGCAATGAGGAAGACTGTTCATGGACTGCCTCTTTAAAGTGTCCTAATTTTTGAATCAGGACTGTATTACCTATTCAGAAATAAAAATAATTTTTTAAAAGGAAATTCTGCATTGTTAGCAAAGATCTTGTTTAAACCCACTGTATATGTGATTTTACTTCTCATAGGTACCTTTTAGGGTAGGGTCAGTTGCAGGACCATGTATTTTGAGGAGAAAGGGAATAATCTATAATTATAACATATATGGCAGTTTAAATTCTAACTGTTTTGGTAGGAAATTGAAATGATAGATTTGCATCTAAACTGTTTGTTTAGCTTGTTCAGACTTCTTGGATTTGTTCTTAATTTTTTTCTTCAAAGTAATTGAAAACTTTAAAACAAGATGCTCTTTTTTCATTTTTTAATTTTTATTTTACAATATTACATTAGTTTCAGGTGTACAGCATAGTGATTCAGTTTTTTGGTGTGAGTTTTTTTTTCAGATTATATTCCATTGTAGCTTATTACAAGTTGTCAGGTATGATTCCCTGTGCTATACAGTAGAACATTGTATAATGATAAAGGGATTAAAACAAGAAGAGGATATATGTTTATTAACATATATGCTCCCAATATAGGATCACCTAAATATGTAAAGCAAATACTAGCAGACTTAAAGGGCAAAATTGATGATTAGCTTAAAACAAGATGTTCTTGATTCACAATCAAAATCCCTTGCTGAGGCCTTCGTGAACACAGTGAGAAAGTGTGGTATTAAACCTGTTTGTTGTGTCTGTGCTTTTATTTACAGGAGCAGGAAAATTCAGATTCGAAACATCCCTCCTCACCTGCAGTGGGAGGTAGGCCATGTCATTTCTGTATTTATTATCTTCCTGCTCTCTGTCTTCTTTTCCTAATAGAGTAACAGGGCATTTTGTCCCATTTTTATAGTTCCCTTTCACGTTTAGGAATTAGAGGTCCCCAGACTTTGCCTTCTTCAGCACCCCAGTGGGAATGACCGGCCCTGAGTTTGTGGTCAGAGTCATCCCTTTCGTTGTGCTGGATATACACTTTGATCCCTTGTGTTCTGTCTCCTCAGGAACCAAGCACTAACAGACAAACCAAACAAAATAAATGCCTTGCTTGTGATTTTTATCCCATGATTTTATAAAAAATTCTTACCTTTCTAAGTTATGATTTGGGAGGAAATAAAATAAATGGAAAATCAATAAGAATAGAAGGTTCTCTGTTAGTTTGGGCAAGTGTTTTGTTTATTTTTAATTAGTTGTGGATAACAGTTAAGACATTTTCAGAGTTGTAAAACTTCTTACAATATTGTTACCTTGAAATAAGATAGAATATGAGGAGTAGCCTTATTGCCTCATTTAAAGGCACACTGTCCCATGTTCCCCAGCTCAAATAGAATCAAAATAGACTTAAAGGAAATAGAATGTTTTGGCTAACATTTTTGTTACTTTAAGGGAAAAAAAACCACCACTTTTTACTGCAGAAAATTTTGAGCATATACATCTCTCATTGCTTCATAAAATAAGGAGATCCCTAAAGGAAAACTGATGGAAGAATGGTTAAATCTTTCAGAAAGGAGAAGTGCTTTTTGTGCATTAGTCTGCTTCTCAATTCAAAAGCAAATGGGCTCCAACCATCATGAATGTGATTGTTAACAATTACTAAGAAAACTCTGCTGTGTTTCCTTAGTAAACAGACTACTCGGGAGCCAATAAGCAAATGAAAGCACTGTATATCTATTCACTTCTAACCGTTTTTTATGAAGACCTGAAATTCTGACAGTGAAGCTTCTTTTTCAGGTGTTGGATGGACTTTTGGCTCAGTGTGGGACAGTGGAGAACGTGGAGCAAGGTAATAAGTGCTGAAATTAGCCTGTTGACTTTTGAGAAGAATATTGCCTGTTATTTCTTATAGGTTGGGTCAAATCCAAGGACAAAGAACAAGTTTAAATTCCACTGAAGCAAGCTTCCTAGAGTGTATGTTTGTATATCTGTATGTATGTAAGAAATGTCTGTATCTGTCTATCCATATCTATTTTTTCAAAGAATGGTTTTCAGACTATTTTTCTTATACTCTGTAATGTACTCAAGCACTGGACAAATTGCTGTCAGAATGGGGGAAGCTTAATTCATTTGGAAGTAACTGTATTTATACTGTGACAACTTTCCTCTTCCTGGTTAAGAACAACATATCCCTAATGTCTTGGACTGTTTCTCAAGGTGTAGGACTCCTACACCATTATCGCCTGGAGTGCTTGGGAAAATTCAGTTTCCTGGGGCTCACCATAGACAGCTTTACAAAGTAAGACTCTGTGCGAGAAGAAGTCATGAAACAAACTGTATTTTAAACAGTCACTTCCAAGTGATTTTTGTGTGTATTCATTTGTTAGCCTCTGTCTTGGGAACAGTGTTGTAAATCCCCAGAAAATGTATATTCTTTTTCCTGCCACTTTATTTTTACTTTCTGAAACATTTACCTTTACAGACAGTGAGTGAAGTCATACATAACTGTTAATATTCACTTAGGGAAAAAAATCACAGAAAATGCATTTTCTCATATGCAGTCTGTCTGCTAGTATAGTTAATATAATAGTTTTTAAAGCAGTAATTATTAGATGCTCTATACTCCATGAATATTAAAAATACTATTATTCAGTTTCATGCTGCTGACTGTCCATCCCCAAGGTGGGAGGTAGGCCCACCTAGGTAAAGGGGAAGAGTCCAGAAAGAAGACATGATTTATAAGGATTCTATTTTCTCAGTTCTTGTTATGTCCCTCAAATGGAAGACATTCTAGTAAGAGTTGGATGTTGTAGGCAAGATGGCTTTCCAGACATGAACCTGTACAAGTTACTAGCTAAGACCCTGTTATAAACTCAGGACAGTGCCATGCAAGGAAGAAATATTCCAGGTCCCTGGGGCCGTCCACAGCTCCAGGAGCACCTGTGCCCTTGAGAGCACCCAGTTTCTAGCTGCCTCATGACTGTAGGGTGGAAGTGTTGGGCTGTTGTTTTGTTCTGTTTCATAGGTAATTCCTGATTCAGCAGGAAAATATTCTGCAGGAGAATTTTAAGAATCTTTATAGAGCTTTCATGTCCAGTGAAATAAAGTATTTGAATAGAGTTCAGTTCCTCCTAGAATCACAGGTCTGATTTCCTGAAGACAGATGTCTTTGAAGAACAAATATAAATACGAATGAATCTGAGACTTTTAGTGGGTAGCTTTATTCAGGAGGTTCAAACAGCCCCTTCTTCCTTTTTGGGTCTACAGCCTCATCTGTTGCACTCCAAAATGTAACTCTGAGACTTAGTAGCATTCACTGTGTCAGCACTGAGAGAGGCTGGTTGTGGGTGCACATGCCCTATTCTGCACTGAGAGGCGCAGTCCTGTGAGCACCTCTCTGTATTAGAGAGCAGCACGAACACTCCGAGGCCGAGGCCAGGACTGGGTTCGGTGTTGGTGACCCATATGTCTCAATGGCAGTCCCTTCCTGAGGAGTATGCATCCGTCCCCATAAGGGCTGCAGCTGCTTTGAAGTTATTGGATAACAGTGACCTTTAACCTTTTTGGAAATCATATGGAAATTATAAGACAGAAAAATCCACGTCCCCACAGATTTGAATATTTGCAGGGAAGTGGAGAGGGTGAGTATAGAATTCCTGAAGCTCTAACATAGGTTCAAAATTAAGAATCCTTGCACTAGAGGGTTTTATTATTACTTTGAAAAGCAGCTCTAGTGTGGTTTTCTTGAATTATGCTCTGCTTAATGCTGTTAATTCCAAGTCTCCTAATAGCTTAAATGTTTTAATGGGAAAAATTTTGATTTGGTCATGTCTGTTGGTTTTGGGGAAATCAGTATATTTTTGGTCTAAGTTTACTGACTTGGATGGAGAAAGTTTTGTCCTGCCTTTTGAATTCATTTTAAACACCTGACTTGGGAAGAAGACGCATCAGTTATTAATAAAGAAATCCAACTCACAAGAGTGATACCTTGTTGGCCACTCTTAGAGTTTATATCTTCTCCTCTTTAGCCAAGTGGGTTGGGATTGCCAGTTTTCTTTATTCATTGTACACGGTTACTAGATTTAACTCACACAGTCGAGTTCAGTCAAGGCAGAACAAATATTGTAATAGTTCAACCTTGTCCATGAATGAACAATTAAAATTAAAATACTTTCTTATTATTTTATACATATATCCAATTATTTAAAAACTATAGCAGATAAAACTGATAGTGGTACAGTAAATTAATACAAACTTCTAGAAGAGTAATTTGAAAATAATCATTAAAAAGCATTATGTTCTTTTTACCCAATTATTTTTGTTTTAAATGACACTAAAAATAAGAAATTCAGAAGAACACAAATCAAGTGGTATTTGCAGCAGTGGTGATTTTTATCAACAGTCTTCAGAGTAGCAAATACTGAGAACAACCATTTGTCAACAATTAAGAAATGGTTAGGCAAAAATCATGGCCCATTTGCTTGCTGCAATTTTATGTAGACATTAAAAATGAAAAATCCAAAGAAACTGTGCATATACATATACACATGCAGAAGTGTTGATAAAATAAGTGAAAAATATAGCTTTGAGTTATATATACAGTTGATTACAAATGTGTATATACAATTGATTATAAATTACTATGAGTGCACATGAATATAGAGATTCAAATAACTCTTAAGAGTTTGAACAATGAAATTTTTGTGCATTTTTCTCTAAGTCTATTTACAGTGAGCCAGAGGGCTACAGCTTTTTTTTTTTCTATGACAATGTAGTTTTTGCTTCTTTCCTAGTCAACACAGACACAGAAACTGCCGTTGTCAACGTCACATATGCAACAAGAGAAGAAGCTAAAACGTAAGTGGATTTAGCTTATTTCCCTTTAAATCTGGGCTGGGGAATGCTGGGGGAGCTTGTCTTTGGATTCCATTGAATCCTGTGTTTATAAACCTTTTCTGAAAAGATGCAGATCTTTGACACATCAGTAGTAGTAGTGTAGTTGCTGAGTCATGTCCAACTCCATGTGACCCGATGGACTGTAGCCCACCAGGCTCCTCTGTCCATGGGATTCTCCAGGCAAGAATACTGGAGTGGATTGCCATTCCCTTCTCCAGGGGATCTTCCCAACCCAGGGATTGAACCCAGGTCTCACACATTGCAGGTGGATTCTTTACCATCTGAGCCACCAGGGAATGCAGATCTTTGACACATCCATAGAGCACCAGGGAATTTACACCAGGGTATCTGTTGACTGTACAGAGATTTTTATCTTGAGAAATGTCGAGCCTTGGCATCAAAACCAAGGTGGGAGCTGTATATTGAAACAGGAGTAAAGGACACCACGTCTCTGACGCTGTGTCCCCTAGAGTCTGCTTTGACAACCACTGGAAGCCACTTTCACCTGGAGCTTTCTCCATGCACCATGAGGAAGAAGCCCAAGCCTGTTTCTGTCCACACTCAGTGGATGAATGCTGAAACTTCCTATTCCCTCTATGAATATTAGAGGGGGGGCGGTTCACATCTGTGACATCAGCCCAAGGGAACATTGTCATCTTGGAGTGGCTCATCAAAGAGTACCTGGCTCGGACTCTTCTTCCTATTCACATTCACCTCCTGACCCCACCCATGACGACATTGCCTCTGGGATGGTTAACTGTGAGCTTGGCTCTTAACACACATAGGATTGAATATTTTAAAAACAACAACAAAAACAAGTTCCTTTTTGTAGAAGGCCCATGAAGTGCCTGTCAGGTCATCATAACTAGAATTATGGTCACACGTGGTCATGCTTTATGGAGGTGGCATAATATTCATATTGGTTATACACACCAGAATTAGTGGTTTTTTTTCAAGGTTTCCACATCCATGAATGCGTATTTAACCCATTCTCGTACCACTAGTTTTCACAATGTTAATTTTGCATCGAACAAGGCAATAGTCATTTGCTGTTGACTTTTTAAACATTTTTAAAATTTATTTTATATATTCTTTTGGCTGTGCGAGGTCTTCATTGCTGCACAATTTTTTTTCCTCTGGTTGTGGCAAGTGGGGGCTGCTTTATAGTTGTGGTGTGCCAGCTTCTTTTTGTGGTGGCTTCTCTCGTGGCAGAGCACAGACTCTAGGGCACTCAAGCTTTAGTAGGTGCAGCTCCCAGGCTGTGAATCACAGGTTCAGTAGTTGTGGTGCATGGGCTTAGTTGCACTGCAGCATGTGGATCTTCCCCGATCAGGGCTCAAACCCATGTCTCCTGCATTGGGAGAGTGTGTGTGTGTGTGTGTGTGTGTGCGTGTGTGTGTGTGTGTGTGTGTGTGTGTGTGTGTGTGTAAATAAAACAATAGATAATATGTTGCAAAAATGATGGCAAATCAATAGAATGTTAACCAGTAAAAATTAAATTTCAGGATATTTAATCACTTAGAAAACTAGAGTATTAACTATTTTTAAGGATTATAAAGTAGTATGTTTGATATTAATCCATTTGTATAAATAATAATATATTTAAGAAAGACATAGGATGGACTAGGATGTTTTCTCATTTGTGCTTATCTACTACTGGATTTTCAGTAATAACTGTATTACAATTAAAATTTTTGAGTCAATTTTATGCCGATATTTACAGAGTTTTTGATACAGCCTTAAGTGGTTAAAAAAGAAAACAGAACAACACATTGTATATCAGACCAGACCTATACTTGGTGATTACTTGTTAACCACCCTCTGTGAAAGAGCAGAGATGGTGTGTGTTTTGCTCACAGCTGCGTCCTCAGTGCTGAGGACGGCATTCTCGTAGGCAATTAGTAAAGGAGAGTGAATGAACTGGTCCACTGACCCTGGCATTGTGGGTCTCTAACAAAGCTCACTTCCCCTGCTGCATTTCAGAGCCATCGAGAAGCTAAGCGGGCATCAGTTTGAGAACTACTCCTTCAAGATTTCCTACATCCCGGATGAAGAGGTGAGCTCCCCTTCGCCCCCTCAGCGAGCCCAGCGTGGGGACCACTCTTCCCGGGAGCAAGGCCATGCCCCTGGGGGCTCTTCTCAGGCCAGACAGATTGATTTCCCGCTGCGGATCCTGGTCCCCACCCAGTTTGTTGGTGCCATCATCGGAAAGGAGGGCTTGACCATAAAGAACATCACTAAGCAGACCCAGTCCCGGTACGTGCCTCCGGGGCTTCCTTTCCTTCCTTCTGAGGGGTCCCCTGAGTGCTGGTGGGTCCCGGCCATTCCCAGGTTGCTATTGCTTGCATCAGCAGTGGGGGGCTGTGCTGGATGGGACAGTGGCTTCTTTAAACAGAACTACTAACAGACTAACACAGAACCCAGGGGCCTTCATGAGCTTTCATGCCAATGTCCTAGAGGTCATACCTGAAACACTAATAATTCATAAAAAAGGTACTAATGGCCTCACAGTCATGAATTGTTCTCCTAAGCTCTCTGATGCCTGTGAACACATCTACGTATTTTTAAAACAACAGAGGTATGGGGCTGAACTTTATGGGATCCTAGAACCCACTTACCTTAGCTCTCGCCTCCTCTTCTGAGTCAGAGCCCAGGGTGATAGTCATTCTTTGAGACCACCTAGGGAGTCTCACAAACAGCTTCATAAAGGCAACGGGTGAGTCACTGTTACATTGAGCAAGAAATAAAGTACGTTATTAGCCTTATGTTTAGTTCTCTGTCTGCTTAAGGAGACTGACTCCATAGTAGGAGTTGTAGTGGGTAAAGTAACTTGTGAGGTTGTTGATTTTTGTATGTTCCTAAGACCGCAGCATGATAAAATGAACAAAGCACAGCACTTGAAAACAAAGACCCTTGTCCAAGTTTTCCCACTTAATGGCTGTATAAGCTTAGAAAAAATTTTAAGCTTTCTGACCATCAAAAGCTTCTATAATCTAGGAGTAGTGTGAGAATTAGGACAGTCAGATTGAATGAAATAATTATTGTGAAAGCACTTAAATTACAAAGCACCAAATTACAAGTATTAGTTATTTACATTCCTAATGCATTTTACTCAGGTCATCGAGGGTTTTATAACCTGAAAGACAAAAAACTGTTTTCTTCAAAGTGTCTGAGTTATTTCCAAAAAATGGGCAATTACATGAATCCCAGGGTTTATAATCATAGGAGTGAAGTGATAAGATAGTAGTTAGAGGAAATACTATGTGATGTTTCTTTTATTTTAAAATCAGTCCCCTTTTATCCCTGTAAGTCTACTTCCCTGAGAAAGTGATTTTTATTTGTATGTCTTTTTGTTCCAAATATTATTTGAAGTGGCTTTATAAATGTAGCAAGTTTAAATAGAAGTGAAGTTAATTCTCAAAGTGTGTGCCTGCTTTTTTGAAATAGGCCCCAAACTTGGATTTGGGCTTTCTAACAACCAAAGTAAAAGGGGATACAATCAATTACGTGATTCTGAAAGTTAACAAAAACAAATAGAGCCACAACTACCCAAAGAAGTCTGATAAAGTCATCAAGCTTTGGAGCCATTAGTTTAAGAGACTGGAAGAAGGCAGGCTGCCAGTGGCAAGGAAACCAAAAACTTAGGCAGAGAAAGGGCATGCCTCTGTTTTCTATCCACACTCAAATATATAAAGCTTGCTTGAATTTGGTGTTTAGAGTTGGATTAACATATGGCTTTTAAAAGCTGCAATCAGTTCAGAGACTGGCACTGTGCCAACGTGCAGTATTATCCTGCTCACTTTTAAGATCATTTGAAAGACTACACAAAATACTTCATTTACCAAACTGGCTTCATTTACCACATTGGCTTGGTGCCTTTGTCCAATAGCACTCCTATAAGAAATATTCCTTTCCAAGTGGAGCTGCAGAGAATTCAGGTTTGGCCCAAGACCTTCTGCACTGCTTGCTGCCTTCTTGGAGAATGGCATTGGTTGCAAACGTGCTAATGACACTTATTGTCTGTCTGTGTCCCCGCTGTACATTGGCCAGTGCAGCACTTTCTGGGACTAGGATCCAGTGCCAGATGACTTTGTGCTATGGCTCCTGATTCTTTTCCTGCAGGGTAGACATCCACAGAAAGGAGAACTCTGGGGCCGCAGAGAAGCCCGTCACCATCCATGCCACCCCAGAGGGAACCTCTGAAGCATGCCGCATGATTCTTGAAATCATGCAGAAAGAGGCTGATGAGACCAAACTGTAAGTTTGCATGCAACGCACAGACTGCTCAACAGAAAAGAAGATTAGGTTCTCATTCATTTAACCCAGGAAAGCTTTCAAAGAGCTGTAAATTTATTTCTCAGTTAAAGGGAGCGGGGGAAGGATTAATTTTCAGGTATTTGTTCCATAGAGACTACAATGGGAGATAGATCTTTTATGTTTACAATGTGGCTATTTCTCTACTTGCATGTTTCTCTTGGTGATCCTAATGCTTCCATCACTCACTGGCAATAATTATTGATGGGAATATAACCATGTTGTCCAATGTGTGTGCTAATGGAAATGTTCTATATTTGCACTGTTCACTATAATAACCACTAGCCAAGTGTTGCTGGTGAGTGCTTGAAATGTGACAAGTGCAGTGGAGGTACTGAATATTTTAACTTGATCCATTCAGATTTAAGTAGTCACGTGTATGGCTAGTGGCCATCATATTGGACGGGGCAGATTCAGAAAGTACATTTGCATCAAAAGGGTTTTGCTTCTAAGCCCCTTGGACTCTTAAGCTTGGATTATGTTTCCTTAAATAGTAGAAACTGGTATCTGAGTGGCTATTTTCTTCTTCTTTTTTCTTGAATCTCCTCCTGTCCATTTCTTTCACAAAATATTGCTTAGGATTCCTGTTGTACAATTTGAATGACAAATACAGTTCATAGTAACTTGTATAATTTAGTAATACAAATATATTAATTTGTATTATAAACAAATTAATGATAATAGAATAGATAATAAAAAAGGCTGTATGTACAAAAAGGCAAAATCTACTTATAGGCATGTATTGTGGCAGTTTTATAAGGAAACAGTGAGGGATGAATTGAATATAAAACTAATTTATATTCAAACAGTGTCAAATAATGTATTCCAAAACCAAGGAGATGAGAGTAGTTCTTAGAAGAAAAACATTGCAAAGTCTTAGGCTTCATGAGGAACTCTTAACATTTTACTTATGAATTACTTACTATGTGGGACTTTTGGAATCCCCCAAGTGCTGTGACTTAATTTAAAGAAGACCCTCTCTCATCCAAGTTATTGAGAACTTTATAAATGTTACCCTCCTTGGTCCTTTGAATTAGGTGTCATCATCTTACAATATTTGAAAGAATCAAAAAGACTGCTATATAAATTGGATTTTTGAAGTATTTATGTAGAGCCGAGATAGAGTTTGAATATCTTTGAAATGTGACTTTTTTTTTAATGAGGCATTATGCTGAGCACTGTGCTAGGGGCTGAGGCTACAACTCTGAACAAGATCCAGTTCCTTTTTTTTTTATTTATCCAGTGTGAGACATCTGCTAAACAAACAATTACACCAGTAAGTAATTAAGTACAGCTATGATAAGTGCTACAGTGGAAAACAACTGCAGGTAACTGGAGGCCCTAATCAAGGGTTCAGAGAGACAAAGAGATTTAGGGATTTCAGAGAAGGCCTTCCTGAATGAGTGACATTTCAGCCGATCCCTGAGGAAGATGAGCAGGAGGTGGAGGATGGAGGTGAAGAGGGATCCTAAACTTTCCTTTTATTCATTTATGTGCATGTTCGGTCTTATCTGACTCTTTGCAACCCCATGCGTGGCCTGTAGCCTGCCAGCCTCCTCCCTGTTCATGGGATTTTTTTCAGTAGGCATACTGGAGTAGGTTGCCATTTCCTCCTCCAGAGGATCTTCCTGACCCAGAGATTGAACCCACTTCTGCATTGCAGCCAAATTCCTCACCACTTAGCCATTCATTTACCAAATACTTATTGAGTACATACTATGTGCCAGGCACTGTTCTGTGTCCCAGTGAACAAAGCTGACCAAAAATCCTGCCCTCTGTAAGTCACATTCTAATGGAGCTTCCTCAAGCATCCCTTTATTTTGAGGCTGTTGTAGTGCATCTATTAGATGTTTTTGGTCTCAAGTAACAGAAAATGTAACAAATGGCTTAAGTAATAAGAAACAGTTTTGATGTCACATAATTAGAAGTCCTTACTATGTGAGAATGACTTCAGGGTCAGTTGAATCATAGACTCAAAGGCCCATGACTTTTCTTTCTGTTTTACTTTTTTCAGTGTATCTGATATGCCTTTTCTTTTATCAGTTGAGGTGATCATGTGGGTTTTGTCCTTCATTCTGTTAATATAGTATATTAATTTTTGTATGTTTAAACATCTTTTCATTTCAACTTAAAAGACTCCCTTTAGCATTTCTGATAGAACTGGTCTAGGAGTAATGAACTCCTCGCATCTTTTATCTGGAAAAGTCTTAATTTTCCTATCATTTTCAAAGACAGTTTTGCTAGATACAGTATTCTTGGTTGATAGCTTTTTTCTTTCTGTGCTTTGAGTATGTCATCCCATTCCCTTCTGTCCTGCAGATTTCTGCTTAGAAATCCATCTATAATCTTATGGAAACTTTCTTGTATGTTATTAATCACTTTTCTCATGCTGTTTTCAAGATTTTCTCTTTGAGTTTAGACACCTGGGTTATAATGTGTTTCAGTGTGATTCTCTTTTGGTTTATCCCAGGTGGATATTCTTGGAGCTTCTTAAATCTGTATGTCAATTTTTTCCCTCAGATTTGAAAAGTTTTCTGCCTATTTTCTTTGAATAAGCTCTCTCCCTTGTCTCTTTCTCTATCCTTCTGTGATTCCAATGACATGTTTCTTGATCGATTTGATAGTGTTCCATAAGCCCATTATCCTGTCTCTACTTTTTTTTAAATTCTTTTTTCTCCCTTCAGTTGATGATTTCACATAACTGATATTCAAGTTTTCTGAGTCTGTCTTCTGCCTGATCATATCTGCTTTTGAATTCCTTTAATATTTCAGTTATATTTTTCAGCTCTATTGTTTCTGTTAGGTTGTTTTTTAATTTCTTTGTTGATATTCTCACTTTGTTCATACATCACCTTCCTGATTTCATTTAGTTGTTTATATTCTCATTTAGGTCATTGAGCATCTCTGTGATCATTATTTTAAAGTCTGTCAAGTAGCTCATAGATCTGCATTTATTTAGGGTCAGTTTCTGGAGTTTTATTTTGAGCCTTTGATTAGACCATGTTTCTATTTCTTTCTATGGCTTATAATTTTTTTGCTGGAATTTGGGCATCATAAAAAGCAATCACCTCTCAGAATCTTTGCATACTGGCTTTGTTCAGGGGAAGACCTTCACTATTCAGCCTGGCTGGAGGTTTTAGGACCTCTGAAACCATTTCTGATTTCTTTCTCCTCCTGGCTTCTGACTGTGGAGCTGCAGCTCTAACATACTATACACCTCTGTTTTCAGCAGCTTCCAGACTCGGGCACCAGGCTTGGCAGCTCCCTTAGTTAGGAGAGACAGAAACCTATCTCTCAGGCAGCCCCCGGGCAAGCCAGAATGTTGGACTCATTGTCCAGTCTTTTGTTTCTGTCCCAGGGGAGGGGCCTTGGTGTGGAGGATTTCCTCCCAGTTTCCCCTTGCTATGGTGTGTAGGGGAAGGAGCATGAAAGGCATGCCAAATGCCACAGAACTTCTTAGTCCTTTTGCTAGAATCCCTTTTCAGTTTTATAAAATCCTGGGTGGTATAGCTTCTCCCCTGATCTCTAGAGTTCTCAGAGAAAGATTTTAGCCTATCTTTTGTTGTCAACTTGGTGTCTCTGTAGGGATCGGAGGGCCTGTTGTTCCTAGTCTACCATCTGACTGATGTCATTATCCCTTGTGCTTTTTTTACGAGCGAGGAAAACCTTCCTAAAGCCACCCTACAGACCTCTTCTGATACCTCATTGGCCAGTCTCTCTCATGGACCCATTTCCAACCACTCACAACAAGGGAGTAAAATTAACATGATTTTGGCTTGTGTTAATCAGAATTCATGCACTAGAGTTAGTGAGAAACCTAGCTTCTCCTAAAGCCCATGGCCACTTGGTAGCTGAAGAAAAACAGCTTCTATTTGTAAGAAATAAGGAGGGTGATAGCTCTTAATCCCATGGACAGAGAAACCTGGCGGGCTACAGTCTATGGAATTGCAAAAGAGTTGGACATGACTTAGCTACTAAACAACAGCAATAGCTCTTAAGTCAACCATTGTGTTCAACTTAAATGTCAAATTGTTGCATGTCTCTTGTAGAGCTGAAGAGATTCCTCTGAAGATCTTGGCCCACAATGGCTTGGTTGGAAGACTGATTGGAAAAGAAGGCAGAAATTTGAAGAAGATTGAACATGAGACAGGGACCAAGATAACAATCTCATCGTAAGCCACTTGTTTCCAATAAACTGTGCCCAGTAATGGAGAATGTGAGCATTTTGATATGTCCAGCTCGTTCATCTGCTTTTCCTTAAAATGGGAATGTAATCGTAAGATAATCATATAATTATCTTCAGCACTGTCAAAACAAATGCATAAGTAGTTCCCAGTCAAACCTTCTCTACTGATAGCATCTAAGTCACTGCAAAGATTTGAGATAAGATGGCCAATGTTCTGTGCCACAGTGTGAGGTGAGGGTATCCATCTTCTCCCTGCCTCTTCCACCAAGACTTGAGTGTGACCCTTCTGAGATTTTATTTTTCCTTTTGAAAAAAGGAAATTTTTCTCTTTTTCCTGGTGGCCAGCTTGCAGGATTTGAGCATATACAACCCTGAAAGAACCATCACTGTGAAGGGCACAGTTGAGGCCTGTGCCAATGCCGAAATAGAGATTATGAAGAAGCTGCGTGAGGCCTTTGAAAATGATATGCTGGCTGTTAATGTAAGTGCTGACTGCTTTCTTCTCCACTGGTTTTCACATGTGTTGTCAGGCAGGACCCAAGCCTCTCTAAGAATAATTGTCATTCAGAAAGTGAAGAAGCACTTTAGAATAGGAGTACAGAGTTACGCCTTTCTTCTTGGGGGCAAGGGCATTAGAATAAGCAGGAGACGAACTAGTAAAATACGCTAAGTACACGTGACAGAATAGTGTGAAGTCATTAAAATCACAGCTTGGAAGATTTTTAAATCAGAAATTGCTTATGATATATTGTTAATTAAGAAAAGAATATATTAATATAAAAGTATATATAACTAGGGTTTTAATTATATAAAATAATATGAGTCAAAATGACTAGAAGGCTGCATATAAAAATCAAGACAGCTGTTATGTTAGAAAAGTGAGATTTTTTTCCCCCCCGCTACTTTCCAGTTTTAAAAAAACTTCTGATTTTCATCTCTCACTGATCTGTCCTTTCAGATTGTCCAATAAATGTTGTCATCCACCTCGACTCTAATAATTCTAGCAGACTGATTTGGGTTTGTCCTTCCTGTTATTACTACCTGGTTCCAACTTTATAATGGGGAGACACCATCCTGAAATTCATTCAGGAATCTTAAAAATATTTTTCTTTTTAATAAAAAGCACAAACTCAGCTCAGAGGAGTAAATTTTTTCATTTTTTTATGATAATGATTTTTTTTAACATATATAAGACAGGAAAGGATACTATGATAAACTCTCATATGCCCGTAATCTAGCTTCAGCAGTTATCCGTTCATGGCCTGCTTTGCTTCATTTGAACCTTCATCCACGTCCCCACTCCCACTGGGATGACTTGGAAGAAAATCCCAGACTTTGTAGCATTTCACAGAGGACTCAATGTCGAGAAAGGACTGGGTGGGTGAAACACAGCCCCAGTCCCCTCACGTAGCACTTGCCATAGGACCTCCTTACTCAGGTCAGTACTCCCTTCCCACCTCACCCCAAGTCCCACCTTAGCGGACCACATGATAATTACGGGGCATGGTGAGCATGGTGAGGAGAAGACTGCGGTGTGACCTTCCCTCCCCCTCCATTTGTGTGTATTTGTCTGTCAAAGTATTGTCCACTGATCTCATTTTCTTCTCTGGGGATCTTGATATCTTATGGTAAACTCTTTCTGTGAACATCCAGAAATGCTGCAGAGGCTCTGGGTGTTCCAAACATCTTCCTCTGAGCATGTGTATCACTTAGGTTCATCCACGTCTGTGCTGAAGTCATGGATTGATAGGTGAATAACAAAATTACTAGATCTCACACATGAATGGGATAAAGGCTAAGATCCTAACTCTCCCATCCCAGACATTCTAAAAGAAGGCAAGTTACTGGGTGACCCTAGAGCCACAGATGAGCAAAGAGAAAATGTTAGAGATTTGCTCGGTGATTGGGGAGGCAGTGGTAGGACAGGTGGGTTACAAACCAGGGTGGGAGATACATCATCCTCTGCCTCTGAAGGGCAGCCTGTGTGAGCATCCCCATGTTTAAATGTGAAGTGAGCAAGTGAGATGATCACGAAACTGGCAGCTAAATGGTAAACAAGCCAAAGTTGTGGACCATTCCAAACATGGATAAGAGTTTACACATGTGGCATCTTAATGAGGGGTCTGATCTTTCCCTGGATAGAGTTAGGAAGAACTATTCAGCCAACATGTTTTAATCATATTCATTCAGCAAATATTTATTGAGTACTTACTATGTACCAGGCACTGAGCTCACAGCACTAAACAAGACAGTTTCTGTCCATGAGGAAATTGTTGTCTGAAAGGCAGAGGCAACTACCCAGGCCATTCAAATACTACGTGATGCCTGCTGTTTTAGGGGAACATGAGTGTGTTAGGAGAGCCCAGAAAGGGCACCTGAGCTAAGGCCTTTGCGATGAAAGAAGGTTCCTTGAGGAGGGGCCATCTAAGCTCCGGTGAAACCCACATGATGAGTAGGATGTAGCCAAGCGAGGATGGAGACGAAGCAACAGTTCTCCCAAAGCAGACAATGTGTGCGGGGGATCCGGAGGAGAGAGAGGAGCAGGACTGGGGAGGGTGGGAGTGAAGGTTAGCAGGAGAGGCTGGCAAGGTGGCCTGGGTCCCCAGGAAGAGCCCCATGGCTGTGTTAAGATGTGCAGAGAAGCTTTGAAAGGAGTGCCACAGTCAGGTTGAGGTTTGGAGAGCCCGCTCCAGCCGCAGGGTGAGGAAGAGGTCCACGGGGCCTGGGTGAGCTGAGTAGGAGACACTGATGCCGTCCAGACAAGAGATGGAGGTTGACCCAGGCAAGCTGGGCCTCTCTGGTCTCCGCCCCTCAACTCTTTTTCCATTTTTATTCCCAGCAACAAGCCAGTCTGATCCCGGGGTTGAACCTCAGCGCACTTGGCATCTTTTCAACAGGATTTTCCGTGCTGCCTCCACCAACAGGGCCCCGAGGAGCTCCCCCCGCTCCCCCCTACCACCCTTTCGCTGTAAGTAGCTCAGCTTTCAGGGCTTTGCTCATGCTCCTCTAGGCAGCGGCATTTCTCTGCTGTGTTGAATCAGAGCCAAAGCTTTCATTTGGAGGCCGTGCTCATAAGGGCTGAATTCAACAGTTCTTAGGACCTCTTCCTAATGGACAGATTAAAACCATCCTCTAAATATGTGCTCTTAAACATAGTATATATCATATCTGGGAAAGAAAGAGACTGCTAGCAAATTCATTAGCTAGAAGCCTGTTCAATGTAAAAAAAGATTTGTTAGCGCAAATAAGAAACTTCATGAGTGTTGTTCACTTACTAAAATATATTTTCGTACCTAGATGACTCATGTATAAAATTCTAACCTGGGTCTACGATTCAAGTGCATTATATTTTATTAATAATTTTTTAAAAGAAAATAGCACACACAGTGTTTATTCCTAGACACTTAGCACAATGCCTGGCATTTAGTAGATTCTCAGTAAGTATTTATTGTTTGAATCATAATTAATAGCAGAAGAAGAAACGTGAACTTTATGTGTTTTCTACTTGTCTCCATCCACAAGCATCATTCAAGATCAACATGTTACCAAATTAGGGCTCAGGATACTTGACAGCTTTTTTTTTTTTAATTCATTCCTCATTCTCCACACATACTACTTATTTTTTAAGAAAACTAATTTTCTCCCAATGTTCATACTGTTTAAATGGGAAGAATCAGGTTGAAGAACATTACCGTAACCACCTCTTTCTTTCGAGAGGTGGTCTCTGGTATAGCAGGCTTCACTCACAGTGTCAGAATTCTGAGTAACTCTTTGGGTTAGCTGTAGAGAGACAGGGTGAAGTCAGTGTGCTGTTTTGCCAGCAAAATACGGAAATGAACTGGCACCCACATCTTTAGTCACAGAACATACACACTCTGTCATCATGTTTAGATACAGCTTTTTTTTTTTTTTTTTTTTTTTTTTTGCTAAAGATACCATGAAATTTATTATTATTTTTTTTTAAAAAACAGCTTGTTGCCTGAGGGCCTCGAGGCTTTCTTTTTTTATTTATTTTTTTTTTTTCCATTTATTTTTATTAGTTGGAGGCTAATTACTTTACATCATTACAGTAGTTTTTGTCATACATTGAAATGAATTAGCCATGGATTTACATGTATTCCCCATCCCGGTCCCCCCTCCCACCTCCCTCTCCACCCGATCCCTCTGGGTCTTCCCAGTGCACCAGGCCCGAGCACTTGTCTCATGCACCCAACCTGGGCTGGTGATCTAGATACAGCTTTTCTTAGTCATTTTTAAATCTCTCCATACCATTTCTTTAGAGTTATATACATTTTCTCTTAAGCTAAAGGATAGCACTCAATCTTAAGCTAAAGGATAGCGCCCAATATTGAGCCGTGTGTGTGTCTGTCTGTCTGTCTGTCTGTCTGTCTGTCTGTCTTAGTGTCAGAGGGAGCTGGGAATATGGCAGGAGGGAATTGGCAGCTGTTACAGTCATGTAGGTACTCTAAGGAGGGAGAACAGCTTCGAGAAGTGTGTGTCCCCATCTTTGCTGAGATGTGAGAATGACTGAGCCCAGGACAGTGAACTGGCCTTTTAGACACATGTCGTTTCTTGAAAGAAAGATTATAGGTACTGCTCCACCAATGATAACTTCAAAAGGCACACTATTCTGTCAACCTAAGTAGCATAAATAGTGGGAGAAAAAAAAAGATGTAATACAGTAGAAAATTCTTCTAAAATGATCATCTAAAAGAGAACTCAGCAAATGACAGTCTGAGACCAGATCCAGCCCATCACTTATTTTCGTGTATATGTACAACTATGAATGTTTATTAAACGCATTGTCTGTCTGCTTTTCTGCTGTGATGGCAGAGTTGAGTAGATGCAGTAGAGACCGTGAGATATGCAAAGCCTAAAATATTTATTTGGCTCTGTACAGAAAAGTTTGTAGATCCCTGAACTGAAAAACAAGAAGAGAACTTTTCATGTGATAGCAGAATATTTTCTAAACTTGAACATAGGTTTTGCTAGTTGGGAAGTTTCCTTTACATCCTTTACATCTGAGATTGTTTTACTAAAACAGTAGAATAATGAATTTTACGAAAATAGTTTCTGTTGTCTATAAAACAGATTTTGAAGAAAATATTTTCAAGTTAAAAGCCATTGTAGTTCTGATCTTGAGCCCTTAGATCAAGATTAGCTTCTAATCTGAAGCAAACAGTTGCCCCAACTCTGCAACGTACACTTCCTGCAGACCTTTCTCTCTGGCAGCTACAGAAGACGGGAGAGCATAGAGGTGGCCATCGCTACCCTCCTGTGCAGGGTCCAGACCCAGGTGGACCCAGGCCTCCTGAGAAGAACAGGGTAGGGTGGAGTGGTGGGGAGCCTTCAAATACTTGTAAAATATTACTTCTTTTCTGTCACTTAGACATTCAAATTTCAAGAAATTAGGGTACTTCTTGGTTGCTTTTATACATCACAAACCTCTAGTGCTTTTGCTCTCAACATCCGAAGGTCAGGAGATCTGTGCACCTCTTTATAGGTGGCTCACACGTGCATTAATTGGGGGTACCAATGCTGGAAGCTTTTGATGTATGCATGTGTATATGAAAATTACCATTTTTATTATTTTCTGGTTATAAAAGTAATACGTGCATAGTATTTAAGAAGCAAATGATACAAGTGCAAGTTTTTTCTTAATCTAGAAATAACTAGTGTATCTATGTGTATGGGTATATATACAATGTGTATATATACACATATATATAATAAAGTATATAGATGATACATATTCCAAATTGTCACTCTACAATGGAAATTCTTGTATATATATCATGATTATTTTATCCAGTTATTTTCTCAGAATAAATTCCTGGAAATAGAATTGCTGAGCCAAAGAATGTATAAGTTTTATATATAACTATAAAAATATAAATGTTGATATTTTGATATTTATTAACATATAAATTTTGATACATAAAGAATGTACTACTATTCCTTCTTATCTGATATGTGACACAGAGACTTTTTTTTCCTTCTATACTCTCACTACCAATGTAATTATTCCTTGCAATCTGGTGCTTTCTTAATAATTTTTTTATTTGTTTATTTTTGGCTGTGCTGGGTCTTCGTTGCTGTATGGGCTTCTCATTGTGGTGGCTGCTTTTGTTGCAGAGCAGTCTCTAGGGCACATGGGCTTCAGTACTTGCAGCTCATGGGCTCAGTAGTTGAAGCTTCCAGGCTCCAGAGCTCAGGCTCAGTAGCTGTGGCGCATGGGCCTAGTTGCTCCACGACGTGTGGGATCTTCTGGATAAAGGGTTAAACCCATGTCTCCTGCTTTGGGAGGCAGATTCTTTACCACTGAGCCACCAAGGAAGCCCTGCAATCTGATCCTTTAAAAGATACTATTAGAGTTATCTTTTACTCGTAATAAGCACTTTGGGACTTATTGGACATTTTTCTCCCCCTCTAATTAATTGTCTTTTTGTACCCATTGCCTATCAATCTGTAGAGAGGCAGTATAGATTATGGAGTCAGACAACCTGTGTTTGAATCTCTGCACTATATCACTTGTTATTTTTAACAAACGTGGGCAAGTGACTTGGCCTCTTTGCATTTCTGTGTCCTTCTCTGTTTCATGGAATTGTTGTGAGGGTAATTAAATAAGTAAAAATCTGTACACAGTAATTGCTGTATAAATCTTAGCTGCTATTGTCATTTCTCCCCATCTTTTTCTTAATGATTTATAACAGCTAATTACATATTAAGGCTGTTAACCATTTGTCATGTTGTAAATATCTTCCACCAGCTTTTCATTTCTCTTTGCTTTATTTGTGGTGTCTTGTGCCATAGTAATTTAAAATAGGGTTTTTTTGAACAAGTGAACTACTATATGAAGTAAATAGTAAATGTTTCCCTTTAGCCTTCCTTCTCTTACCCAAATTTTACCCAACTACCACTCCCCAGAAGTATAATATTTTTATGTTTAAAAATGTTTTATGAGCATATATATAATCATTTTATTCAAAAACAAATGGAATCGTGCCACATATAGTGAATTACTGTTGTTTTATTTTTCACTTATTATGAGCATTTTTCCATATATAGAGTTAATTCTCTTTAATGACTTTTTAATTCCATTGTGTGAAATTACTATAATTTTTCTACTGAGCATGCTGTTTTTTGACATTTGGGTTTTCTCTAGGCTTTCTCTGCTACCAGTAGTGTCAAAGTGAATGTCCTTAAACATATGAGTGTGAGCAGATCAAGAGGTAAATTGTAAGACTGCAATTATTACACCAAAAGGGAATGTGTTTTTCTTTTTAATTTTCACATTTCCTTCAACAGAATTAATGAAGAAATTTTAAGAATTAAGATAGATCAGTGTTGTTTTCTGTAATGGACTTCTGGCCTTTGATGTTGTGCTAAGAAAAAGCTGCCTGCTATCTAAGAGTATAAAATATCCTCCCAGGTTCTCTTACAGTCATTTTTAGTTGTTGGTTTGGGGGGATTGTTGCTTATAATTCATAGGCAGTTTATCTTAACTTGTACATTGAGCTAGGGATTCAGTTATTTTTTTTTCAATGCATCACTCAGTTTGAAATGTCAGTTTTGTTGTATGCCAGATTCCCATGAATCTTATTCCTGGGCTCTATTCTGTTCCATTCATCTTTTTGTCTACACCACAGTTACTGTAGTTTTATACTATCTTTGACAGTGTCAACACCAGGGTTATTTTTTTCCTCAAAAGATTAAATTGAAAGGATAGTCAACTTATACTATACTTGGGAAATTTGAGAATATATAGGAATTTTCTGTCCCTTGAAGATTTAATGCCATCCATCCATAAAACTTCTGGGCCTAGCACTTTCGTTTGGAGAAAGATCATTTATAATCTTTTCAGTTTCTTATAAGTTTCTGACTTGGTTTTGTTGATTTATATTCTCCTATAAAAGTATTCATATCTCTTTTCATACTTAGTAATACAAAGTTGTACAAAGCAATCTA